GGAACAGCCAGCCGTCAGTCTGAACAGACAGGGCAGCAGGCCCACCAGGTGCTCGTGTGTGTACGTGTGCGAGCAGTGTGTGTATTATCACCATTACCCTTGAGTTTAGCACTAGTTACTTGTAATGTTGGTTATTTAGGAATTTAGGCATATTACACTGCTGCACTCAGTGTAAGCAACTCTAAATTTAATCACCAGCTAAATCCCTAAAATGTGTGTGTGTGTGTGTGCTAGTGGGAGATAGGTATTTCCTCGCTGACTGCTGCTGCTCAGGCTGGAGACAGATAAACAATCAATTATGTACAGCCTGTCACCAGGGATCTCTCTCAAGCTGCCGGTTTCTCCTCCTGCTTGACTCCCTCCACCTTCTGCCAAAACAACACCAGCCTCGGCGAGTTCTGACCTCAGGCTACTTTCCCCAAAACATTGCAGCCTCAACTTCAACTTGAAGATGATCTTATGAGATGATACATATGTCAAGGACAAACCTTTGCTACCTCTGTGATTCTGCATTTGTCTGCAAGGGTGGCAAAGAAATTTGAATAGTTTTGACCAATGTTTTTTTTGTTTTACTCAAAGCAAGTAATGGCCTCATTATAATTATAATTTGTCTATATTGTGGATGTATTTCCTTCAAGGCATCAAAGGTGCATTGTTTAGTATGTTTACTGGACAAACAGGAGGAATGGCATTGTTCTTCCAGCACAGACGGTGGAAGACAAAGTGCCATGGAATAATATCTTTCAACATATTTAAACCTGCAGTAACAGATTTTTTGGCCACTTGGGGCCAGTGGAATAAGTTTAACATAGTGACATTTTAGGTTGATGTGGCAAACCTTTTAGCAAACAGTTGCATATTGACACATCAGCAGTTAGAGAGCAATATTATCATCAATTAGAGAGTGAGCCTGGCCACCTGATGGATCTAAATCCAATATTCACTCTCTTTTAGCTTTTGGTCTTAATAAATTACTATATCTGGTTGGGGCGCCCTCGTAGCTCAACCTGTAGAGCTGGCGCCCCATGTACAACAGCTGCATCCTTGCTGGAGCAGCCATAGGTTCAACTCCATGGTAGTAGTGTACAGTCAGTTTACAGATGTTTTTTGGAGATGTTTATGGAGCCTTGTTTTTATAAATGTCTCCCCATTTTGTTTGTATCCTACACCAGAAGGAGAACGCACATGCATAGGGAGAGTACCGGGGAAGGAATGAGCTAACAAAGAAGAACAGCAAGTTAACAACCATGGACATAAACAATTGTAGGATCTATTGAAAAATGTCCTTTTGGAAAAAAAATTGGAGTTAATTTTGAAGAAGATACTTTTTAAAACAAACATTTAACATGTTTGTTAGACCTCAATGATACACACAGTTTATCAAAACTCCATAGGGCCTTTAAAATACCAAACACATAGCACCATTAGCTCCCCAATCAGCAGCATATAAGTTTTGTTACATTGCAACTGCCTGTGCAATTCCTTTACTTGAGCAGAATTATTGGATTTCATGGAAAAAGAAGCAAAAACTCTGTTTATCAGATTCCCCCCAGCTGCCAAACCCTTTGAATCGTCAGACTGAAAGTCATCTTTTTCTGATCTCTGTTGTTGCCAAACCCCCTGCCCCACCTTTGGCCCCTGTCCACCGTTTTCCCCCTTCTCTGCCCAGCTCTCCCTCTGTTCCTCTGCCTCAGGGGCCCTGGGTCTGGTTATCGCAGGATTAGAACAAGGGCACACAACCTGCATACACACCTCGGGCACAAGCTCACGCATGCACATGTACGCCTAGCACACATGCACACCTCAGGACAGCCCTCTTTAATAACATTCAAAGGGAGAGCACAACCAATCCGCTACCTTTCATGGATTAGCTGCTAATCTCACAGAGCGAGGAGCACCTCAGGCACTTTGGGGAAAAGACGAAGAGTAGAGGGGAAGAAAGAGGAGGAATCTTGACCTTCAAGATCAAGGATAAAGTGCTAGTCAAATAAAAGGGGCAAAAGAAAGTTGGGGATGTTTCTTTTGCTAAAGGCTCCGCTGGATATGTAGTCTGGGCCGTGTCATGACACTTGGTCGTACATATTTCATTTAAACAAGTACATGAAGTCTACATGTTCCAGTCTACCACCAGCTGGGACCTGAACCTGCGACCTCCCTCTCTGCAGGTGGTCTGGATGTAAAATACAGACTTCTGTCTGAGCTCGCTGACCCCCTGACAAGCCGAGGAGAAATATAACCAGGGCTTCATGCTGTTTCGTCCAGGCTTAAATCTGTGGATCAGTCCTTTAATCCACTATTCTGCACATAAACACTGAGCCATGAAATGAACTACAGTCAACTTAATCCTCTTTACTAGGCAGACTGGTTCACATACGACACTGTAATGAATGTGGAAATATGGATATCAATACCGGGACATTGTTTCTGCTGAGTTTGCAATTCATTAATTGGCGAAACCCATTGAGGATGATAAAGACGCTCGTATATCATTGGAATGTGCAATGTCAATAGGAACTGAAAGGGGGGTGGTTTAATGTATCCTTCCACAGCTGTAATATTTCTTCTGTGGGCAACTTAGAAGAGGTAGCACTCCCTTTGGACTATTTTCAAACAGAAGCAGATGTTCAATTGCTATTAACAAGCATTAGATTCCTACAGCCACTAGCTTAGCATCTTCCTACTTTTATTGTCAATTACTGCCACCAGGACTAGAGAGGTGACACTAAACTCTGCACATCAACACGTATAAGCAGGAGCCCCCTGCTGTGTTTTCCAGCGTTCATTAATTCTTTCTTTCTAGTTTTCCGATAGCTCAAAGCTTTTTACACAACATTCAGCCATTCACACACACTCACACACCAATGGCACAGCAGCGGAAGCAGTTGTATGGTCCAGTATCCTCCGCACTTTGACATACAGGGGGTGGAGCCGGGGATCAAACCACCAACCTTCTGATTAGTGGATGACCCGCTCTACCTCCTGACACCTAATTTTTGCTACAATTAATCTTTCTTATATTTGGTGGTGAGAGGTGCCTATAGTTGTAATTGTGTTCAGTATCAAGCTCTCTCCGATGGTGGACATGTGGGAGCTGATAGTCCAATAACGCAGTGGGGAGATTACGACGGTAATTTGACTGAAGCAGGGAGAAAGTCATTACATCAAGCCTCTGCATAAGCCTTGGTTTAATCACACAAATTGACTTTTATAAGGCGACGCATAGCAGTGTATTCCACTACAGTGACTTGAAGGCATTTTAATAGGAAACTACATAAAATATAGTGACACAATTTAATCCACTGGGTTTGGGGGTATTAATCTTCATTGTGAATCTAGGGAATGAGCATACAGTGGAAGAAAGACAAATGAGTAAAACAATAAAACTTGCCCGCAGCTCAGAAGATTAGAGAAAACATGGTGAGTGAAATCACATAAGGTACAGGGGCTGTCTAAAGATAATATGGAAAAAGACTGAGTAAGTGAGGCGGTTTCTTTCTCTAAATAAATCACAAGAGAACAAGAAAAGAGATGAATGTGCATTTGTTAAAAAAAAAAAAACTATTCCTCAATCTCAGTTCTAACTTGTTTATGCCTTGCAGAAGACTGTTCATAAAAAGACATAAAGTCACAAATGCTTAACTTTGCTCTATTATTTCCTGATTTCCATTGACAGGGGAAAAGAAAAACTCTACAGGGGGCCCAGATGGAGCAGGAAATGGGAGTTTTCACCGGGTGTTCGTTGTGTTGCTGAGCCTTATGGCTTCAATTCAAACTCCAATGGCACGGCAGGAAGGCTGCGGCCCTAAATCCTCCGGCGTACAGCGCGGGCGGCAGCCAGCCCCTTCACTCTGCTGCTACTGAGTTAGTTTGCATTGGTGCAAATTGCTTTTTTAATTACTGACACTGAGGAAATGCAGCATGTTGCCTTCTCTTTGGAGATGATGCACACAGGGAGCTACTTAGCATCATGTTTCACAAGCTGCAAACAACTGCTGAGGAAAGAGGCGGATCTGCCACTCATCACTGTGGACTGACATCGTGTTATTCTAGATGAAGGACAGAGATGATATATTATAGAAGGATTACTGACTCAGAGTCGTCTTATGGATTTTACTCTATGTGTGCTCCTGCATTTATAACAAAGTGATAACTCTGAATAGACACTATAACAACTACACGTGACTTTAATACTCCTTACAACGTCCATCTGTGTTTCTGTAGGATCCATTCCTCCTGGCATTAGTATTATAAATTAAATCAATGTTTTTGTTGAACTTAAAGATTTGTTTAGAATGGTCAAAGCACACACCACATAACCATAACATCCTTGGTTTGATTACAGCTGTTGCACCTGTGTTGCGTGTTGTACCTCTCTCTCCCTCTGTTTCCAGTCTGGCTCTATACTTCCATTCCAATACAGGTGAAAATGCAAAAAAATGTATTTCCTTGAAGTTTGACAGTGAAAGAACCAAGAAATCTTGCACACTGTACTTGTACGCCAAAAATTCATAAATCTTTCTATTAACCAGTTTATCTGATGAAGTGAATAAAGTGAGAACAACTTAGTCATCATGCAGGATATTTCTTGGTTCTTTCACAGTCAGTTTTTGATGGTGATTCCCTTAAGCTTAAAATCCTACTTGGTTCAGAACCTGCAAAATGACTAAGAATTGTAAAAAATGTGAACTGAGTTAACAGTATACACTATTGGGGGCACTCTTGTCGTTTAGGGGTTAAGACTATGAACCGCATTACTCATGGCTCCAATCTGTCTTGGTGACCTTTGTTGCAACTCTCTTGCGCGTGCTTCCTGTCATCTTTCCACTATCACAATCTGATAAAGGAATAAAATATCCCAAATTATCATGAAAAAACAAACAAAAATTACATATGTCATCCGCTGTTTTTTGTGTAAACTCATGGAGTCGAGGACTGTATTTTTTCCACAGCAGCTTTTTGTGTATGACATTGTTGTAACTTTCTATCTTGCTTTTAATACCAAAATAATAGCACGTGGTGTGTTTAGCTAACTCAAACAACCCCTGTTGGGAGGCTGAATGAAGCACTGCTATATGATTGTTTAGAAATTGCCTTATTTCTCATACTGATGTTATCGACAAAACATTTCTATCGCAGTGTTTACATTGTGCAGCAAATAAATGCTGCTTTTACAGATTGTTGTGACCAAATGCAAACATGGCTGCCTTTCTTAATGCCTCAATGAACCAATTATGTCTGAATTTGAGGGATTTTTTGCACACGGTCTGATCAGTCATGATGTAACAATGTGAGTATTTTCTCGGATAAGTAGAAACATTTGTCTTATCTACTACAACCTGAAGACAAACTATGGTGGAAGAAGCTATTATGAACAAGCAGGGCTACTACCATAATCACCCACAACACAGACAGAGAACAAAGACTGTGAATCATCCACGCAATCTTTTTAGATTGATTTGGTTTGCTTTGATTTTAACTTTGATCAGGAACAAATGGGTCTGCCGCCTCCACTCACAGTCTCTCTGTTTCTCAGGTTCTCAGTGACTTTCTTTCTCCTTATCACACACTCGCACAGAGCGCATTCACACACCAGACAAACACTGTACACACACACACACACACACACAAACAAGGCGGAAAGTCCACAGACACTTTGACATTTCCAAAGAGGCCTGATGTTAATCTATTTAGTTTTTCAAAGCCAAGTTTTCACGGGATAAAAGCCTTCACACAAACTATGGAAATCTCTTTTAAAAAAGCTCAGACTTATATTTCAGATAACAAACAACATGCTTGTCTCACAACATAATGCAGTTTAGAGATTCATATTAACGCTTTCTTATAGTATAAATATGTGAGTTTGACAAATCTAAAGTTTTAACAAAGCAGAGAGATAGTAGTGCTTTGTAATCTACACAAAGCAAAATTGATTTGACACTTTCTCTCAGTGTTCTTCAATCTTTTTTTTTCTACTACTAGCTTGTGCTGAATCATAAAGTAGTAAGGCTGGTATTGATTTCTGTGTCTGTGTTTTATTTTAATGCGGTGCTGGTAATCAGAGCAAAACCAATAAGAGCAAATCAAACTGAGACATTAATCCCTACGCATATTAAATGAACAGACCGTGCATAATTGCAGGGTGACAGATTCACAGACAAGTGTGTCTAACCAGGCGCCGTCTGGAATATGACTAACAGAAAAGAAAAGGGGGGAGGATGTATAGCACATGGCTTAGGTTTATAGTGTACTTTACAGGTGTTGTATGATAACTATGTCTCTCTGTTATAGCCTGATTTTCTGTTACACAGCTTCCTTTTTCTGTCTCACACAGCACTCTGAAACTAATAACTCTAATAACTCTCTATGTTTATTTCTGAATGTCTGGCTGCCTCTTCCTCTTTGGAAGTCTGTGCCTCTCTTGGTTGAAGAATTTATCATAATGACATCAAATATCATCCTCCAGTGTATGACTAAAGATGCAATTTAAATCATTTCTAAATGGCAATAACCTGTAGGTATATAAAATGCTTCTCCTTAAAAGCTCCTGTAGCGAAAACCTGCAGTGAAGACATATCCTCCTCTTCTCTTTGTACCTGCATGTCTCTCCTCATTTCCACATCCATACAGCAACAAAAGATCCTCCTTATTTGTACTACTTCAAGTCTGCAAGCAACCTCGACACAAAATGGTTGCCCTGGAAGCTGAAGCTCACAAAGCCAGAACAAAATCAGTGCCTTCTCCGCTTGTCAAATGGCCAGCAGAGGAACTCACCTGTGCAGGAATAGTCATCGATCCTGATGTAACCCGTATGGCAGATGCACATGAAGGAGCCAGGGGTGTTAACGCACATGGTGTTCTCCCTGCAGTAGTGCTTCCCCTCAGCGCACTCATCAATATCTAAAGAGGAGTGAGAGAGAACGAGAGAGGGGCAGAACAAAGCTGGGTTAGATGTGGATTGCTATCACATTTCTATCACTTGAATTGGTAAATGCAAATATTTAGAATCCTTTTTTAGATGATTTGTTTAATAATCCTTCTGTATATGTTTAATTATGTCATAGATATTAATAGACCTTTGCATGCAAAAAACAGTGAAATATTTGTTGGTAGATTACAAACACCCTCTTGTGGTGCAGATCAAACAACATTTTTTAATCAGTAGTCTGCGTTCATACCTCAAGCCCCACACCTCAAGTTACGGCCTCGTGATTGATTCTGATTTGTTTTTTATTTTTCAAACCTCTTTAGCTGAGTGACATTCAACAGCTTCATCAGCTTTCCCCCAAGAAACAAAGTGTACATGTTCTCATTATAAATTCATTATTTAAAGTTTGAACTGTTTGAAGCAGATTTTTAATGACATTGTTTACAAAATTTTCATCCACAGAGGGGAGAACGTTTTTTAAACTGTCTAGCAAAATCTTTGAAAAGTACATCCCATGATATATTGAATAATTATTCCTAGTTCCATGGAGAGAGGTGAGGAGAGTCAGGGATTGCTCTGGAAAAAAATGTTGAAATCACATTTTGTTTTCAATCATTTTTACCTCATCAGAAATGTTTGAAAGGGTGCGATGGGCAAAGAGGAGGAAAAGAAAGGAAATGCAAATTTAATTGTACAGAAAAGATGATTTGTTTACAATATTATGATGCGTAGTCACAAACATTGAACTTATTTATCATATTTGTTAATGAACCTATTTGTGTGTTGCATCAGCTCATCTGCTGATTATACAAATAAATTAGCTGGCTGAGCTGGCTTGTTGTCTTGTCTTACAAAGTTGGTGTTGATGTTAAAGAGCTTCCTAAATTCATCTAAGTTGAAGCAGGCCATAATTGACTTTCGCTTTCATTAATTTTAATTAGGGATAAGACGTCTTTAACATGTAGCCAATTTCCTATCTAGCTTTTGTCTGACTGATTTTCACAACAAGTGCTCCAAACTAAATGAAAAAATGCTGTTTGTCTATGCCCTCTAGATTGACACATAGAGAAACCATTTGCTCTGATGCGCCAGGACGACAGGTTAGATTTAGGCAAAAAATGACTTGGTTTGGTTTAGGTAAAGTTTATGATTTGGGACAAAATAAGTATGAGTTAAAGTTATGGGCGCTTTGTTCGCATGTATAATCATTAATAATAAACAAATAGTTAAGATTAGTGAAAAACTGTGATCAGACAGTCTCCCGCAGCCACTACAGGACTTAGTAAAGTAAATATTGTGTCATTTTGAGGCACATTCTGAAGCAACTGATGCTCTAATTCTAAGGAGGAAGTATCTTTGCAGCTCTGTTGTAGTGACATCCCAAGTATTATGCTGTGGCCTATTTTGGGTGACTCCCCCATCCCGGGAACCACCCTGTGGAGTTCGGCCTAGTTGGTTCTCGCTACAGGCTTGTATGCAGCCAGCGGGAAAGGGCTATTTGTCTTCATCAGAGAGAGACAGAGGTCGAAATGCAGAGGATCCTTGAGAGGTGGGCGCTGAAGCACTTAAGGTTGCACTACTCGATTTTCAATCTATTCAAAGCAAAGCTCTCCACAGAGTGGCTTAGCTGCTTTTCTCCAGACTACTACTGGTCATTAAGTTCATCGGTGTGATTGAGCATACTTTAAATTTCATATGCTGTAAAAAGATAATATTGGAGAGTGAGAATAATGCCACTAGAGATGTTAATTAAAAATGCTCTACACATAAACAGAGGTATTTTCAATTATTCTGGCTGATTAAACCACTTACTTGACTAACACAAGGTCGTCAAACTTAAGTGTGTAACATTTAGGAGGATCTACTGGTAGAAATTACATATAATATGGTATGTTTTTATTGGTGCATAATGACCTGAAAATAAGAATCATTGTATTTTCGTTAGCTTTGAATGAGTCGTTTTTATCTACAGGGAGTGGGTGCTCTTTCACAGTCATGTTGAACCGTCATGTTTTTACATGAGCCTAGAATGGACAAACACTGTCTCTCTGCCCTTTTGCGTTTTTTGTGGCTTCTGTAAGAAGAAATATGTTGATTTAAGAGTTATTTATGTAAGCTGACTTGCTACAACCTGTACAGCTGCTTTCATGCTGCTTCATGAATGTAAATGGACTGCACTTTCTAGTCTTTTGACCACTCAAAGCACATTACTCTACATGTCACATTTACCAATTCACACACATTCATACACTGATGGCAGAGGCTGCCATGCAAAGTGCCAACTGAAACTAGAAACTAACCAACCCATTCACACACACACCGATGGCACGGCACCAGGAACAATTTGGGGTTTAGTATCTTGCAGAGGGAGGAGCCGGGGATCCAACCACCAACCTTCGGATTAGCAGACAACCTCCTGAGCTATAGCCGAATGTAGCTAGATAGCTGTACGTAGGAAGATGACGTCCCCATTCTTAATCCTTAAGCTTTGATTAGTCAAAAGCAATAGGCTTAACACCAGACCTATATGAATCGCTGAACAAATTCTGTGATGTGGGCGGCGACTCAGAGGTCTGGAACAGACTAACGCTAATGTTGCTCTGTTACCGCTGGATGTTAGTGGGCAACTGTTTACTCACATGTTAGCATTACAACTTGACAGAGCAACGCTGAATTGGGGCTGTGCTTCTGTGACCCTAGTAATTAAAACTTGGTTAGTGTAGCTTTAAGAATATGATTTATTAGATTGTCCTTTGTATTTCCTTCCCACTCGCATGATACCATATTTAGATCCATATTAGCTGTTGCCTTAGCAACAGCTATTCCTAGGTTCTAAACTGCATGCCAAACCATCACACAGAAGATGCACAACACTGCCAGGGTAAACAAAATAATCTTGATAATGTGATGCAACCAAATGCAATTCGATGCAAAAACAAGTTGAACCGAACAAATCCAGCTATGTAAAATACTCCAGGGCCTTGTTCCTGTTGATAATACAGGTCAAATGTAGGCACTTTTTGAGAGACGAGCTCCATAGTCCTTGACATTTCCAATTTATTATTCATTCACTGTATTCAGTGTCTGTTAGAGCACAGGAGGACATTCACCTCTAGATACGTTTTGTGCCAGGTGCTTTTGCGAAGAGCACTTGAAATTGAATTTCAATACATTTGCATTGGCATTCATCCGGCTTGCATGTCCTTGGGTAGAGCGCCGCCCACTAACTCGCAAACTAAGAGCTCAGCACCTGCTTATAACTGTGGCATTCACATTTCCGTGGTCTTCTTCCTTTCACAGTTTCATCAATACTTGCTGCCTCCAGCTATTCAAAAGCTTCACGGATAAATGAAGCCGACAGACAATCGTCGATCACCTATGAAAGTACATGTGTCCTTCACTAAATGAATGGAGGCTAATTAAACCCTGTGACTGGTTTTGAGAGAGAGAGAAACAGGAATGTAGAGAAGGTGGGGAGAAAATGGGAAGTAAAGGGAAGGGCAGATACCAGGGCAGGTAAGGAGAAGAAGTGAATAAAAGACAAAGACAGAGTCACGACAAGCTATACTGTAGAGCTAGACAGAAAAGGGGAGATGAGTGAATGACTGATAGTGAAGGGAGAGAGATACAGACGGAGGACAGAAGGAGGTGGAGAGAAAAGGGCAGGCAAAGTAATGGATTAAACATAGAAAGATGAAGCATGAGTAAGAGCCAGTGTGAAGTAAAAGTGTTGAAAAGTGTGCAGTGTGTGTAAGAGAGTGAACAATTGAGATAGCAGGAGAAAAAGATTTAGATGGCATAGGAGCAGAAGCGGAAAGAAAGCAGCAAAAAAGGTATTAACTGTCATTGAAGAGACAGAAAGTAAGAGAACAAATTCACTCCGTCCGCAATCGCAATGTTAACCTTGAGCAGAGGTCTTAGGTGACAGCTTTCCCGCTTTCTGATTGGCCATCCGTGGTGCAGCTTTGATTTAAAGCCTATTAACTGTAAGACATCATCCATCCTGCCCCTGGTGACAGCAGTTACGTTTGCTAAAACAATATGTTAGGAGGTGAGATGATGAGGGGCACAGCACGAACGCGTGGGGGAGAGCGACCATCTCCATCTCCATTAACGCACTCCATTTTCTTGATTGGCCTGTCACATGGACACACGTGATGTGCCAAGCAAAGGAGGCTGGCCAAGAGTCAGCAACGGCTTTTATCGCTGAATGGAGTGCTTGGGGTCAATCTTTTTCCAAACCACGATGGATGGCTAGGAAACGGCTCTCGTCTTTTTTTATCCACCTCTGTGCATTCCTGCATAACAACTGAATCAATCATAGTCATACCTCAGGAAGGTGGGTAACTTAGCGTTATTGGGACAAAAAAACGTCCTTATTATGGAGAAATAGGGAGGTCTTTTAGTTCTTGTAGTCAGACAAAAATTACAGCAAGCAAGCTACTTTAGTATTTAGAGAGCTGTCTGAAATTAGAACTCTTTCTCTCATTTTAGATCCATTCAAAATCACACAAGTACTAAAAATCCAACAACAACAACATTATGGCCACAGATTAATATCACGTCACAAGCACAATAAAACATGCTTGCGGGCAAATTATATTATTTCACACACACAGATATTAACTGCCACTCACCCAATGTAACTCCTCGCGCACAAATTCAACAACCGAAAGCTGTACAGGCAGCTGCGAGCGAGAAGCAACATAAGGAGAAGCAAAGAAGGGCACCTGCGTGTATACAACTAATCAGCAAGCACACAAAGCAGCCACCATGCGCAAGAGACTTTCTGTTTGGCGAATGGTGGAGGGCATACACGCTCTCACAGACATTACTCTGCCTTCAAAGTTGATTGCTCGCGCAAATTCTCGTAGATACAGCAAGACTGAAAGTTTTGACCAAAATTGTAGTTACTGCACTTTGTAATTGTAGAACTAATACACCTTCCAAAGTCCAAGACCATCGCATGCCA